GATACCCTTGCATCCCTACCTCCGAGTTTCTTAATAAGCGTCGGGGGGCGTCACCCACGCCGACAGCCCCACATCGACCTTGTCGCGGGCAGCCACCGATCGCCGAAGGCACTCTGACCCCCGTCGCGGCGCGACGACGAGGCGAGGTTGACCTCCGTCGGGGGGGTACCCCCCCCCGCTTATCAAGACACCTAGAGTAATGATGAGCGACTTTCCCAAGGATACCCTTGCATCCTTACCTCCTCGGCCAGTCCTTGGTCACTTTCGTTGGCCGCACCCGCTCGAAAAGCTTCGAAATGAGCGTCCAAGGCCCTTGCTTCCTTATCGCGTATCCTTCTGATACGGGCCGACTGTAATTCAGCACGCCGTGCACCCCTGTGGAAGGCACAGGGGGCGGCGGGCCTAAGACGCCCACGAGTCACCGCTGCCCCCTGCCTCTCTGGAGGCGCCTTTGTGGCCGAGCGTCGCGGCCAGAGCTCGGCCAAGCTGCCCTGCTGTGTGTTCCCGCAGCCGTTGTGTAAATCCTTCGGTGAACACGTGGGGCAGAAAGAAGAGGAGAGGGAGGAGCAGGAAGGAGGAGGCGGAGGAGGAGGCGGAGGAGGAGGAGGAGGAGGAGGAGTCAAGAATAACGCAACGATCTCCGATCCATGTCTGCGCAACGTCAAACAGGTGGAGGATGAGGCCTCCTGGCAGCCTTTTGGGGCACTCTTGGGGCTTGCTGGGAGCTTCCTTGGGGCGTTTGGGGGGCTTCCTTAGGACTCTTGGCGGCATTCGGAGACTTCTTGGGAGGCTCTTTGACCGTCTGAGGCCCGTCTGACGCCGTCGGAAGCCGTCTTGAGGAGACTTGGGGCCATCTTGGGGCGCTTCAGGGCCGTCTTGGTGGCCATCTATGGCGTCTTGGAAGTCTCGTGGTCCGTGTTGGGTGCCTCTTGGCCAGTTGTGGGCCCCGGAAACGGCAGGGCCGTTTTTTCACCGTTTTCAAAAAAATGTCCCTTGAAAATGGAAACGGCAAAAACAAATCGACCAGAAACGGCAACAAAAACGGCTCCTGGATTGGAACCGAAGCCGGAACCGGT